AGAGAGAGAGAGAGAGAGAGAGAGAGAGAGAGAGAGAGAGAGAGAGAGAGAGAGAGATACACACACCCAATCAGAAAAGCAAAAATATGGAATTGTTATTTAATATTGTGCCTCAAGAAATTTCCCCCTTGGAAGTTAGTGAACATACATTAAAATTAGTAGAAATGTTTATTTCTACACGTTCAAGCCACTCATTTGCCTTACTGCAATTAATCAAGCCCCAAGTAGTTAGGGTTTCTTCTGTAGTTTCACTTTGAGGCTGAGGCTGGCATCAAACTCATGATCCATGTCTCTGTCCCTGAATGTACTACCATGCCTGGTTTTATGTGGTGCTGGGCACAGCACCCAGGACTCTCTGCATGCCAGGCAAGCTCTCTACCCAGTGAGCTAGATTCCCAAGCCCCACAATTTCTCTTTAAGAAAGGATGGGTAATGTATGGGTAAATCCTGGTACTTGACTAGAAATCACAATCTGCTCTGCAGTTTTCGGCTGGCCAGTCTGTGCTGGAGGGCTGGGGTACCATAGCTCACCTTTAAGCTGTCCCCATGGACATAGATTTGTGCCACAGGCTCACTCCGGATGTAGATGTTCTCAATCTTCTCTGGTGCAACGTACTCCCCCTGAGCAAGTTTAAATATGTGCTTTTTTCGATCGATGATTTTAAGCGTTCCCTCCTGTGGAGTCGAACAGACAGCGTCCTCAGACAGCACCCCCATTTCCAAGCTGGAACCCCACCTCCTCAGTACAGACTTACCCTGTACACCCCAGCACAAGCTGCTCTGCTCTGTGTCTACAGAGATGCTGCATGGGGCTTGAGGGAGGCCATTGCCCACCACAGGTGGGTGACATGCCAGTTCTGCTGGGCCCTGAGCATCCGCCATCCTTTCTTCTGGATCAGCCTCACCAGGTCCCTCTGCTTCCCCAGCCACCCTCACCCCAGAAACAGGCATTCATCTACTTCTGCGCAGCTCCATCTCTGCCCCATCGGGGCTCCTCTTGGCTAGGCCCACCCTCAGCTGCCCCTTTTCTCACCGACATCTCCAGGTCCACTCTCTTTGACCTCACTAGGGTCTACGGCTCCAGCTACTGCCTCCACCCCAGAGTGCCCTTGCCGTCTCCTGGTGGACAGCAGACTCCTCAGAGAGAGCCTGTGGCTTCCACCCAACCACCAGATGGTGTCAGAAGCCCCAGCCTCTCCAGTATCCAGTGGCAGGGAGGACAGGGAGTGAGTGCTGGTGCCAGGGGGCCTCTGGGACCCTATTCACTTCACTGACCCAAGACCTGTTTGAGTTCTGGGGGGCTTGAGTGACTGTTGTACTTTCATCATCTCCGAGAACAGCACAGCAGGGACAATCATTTCCATACACCTATGCTGTGCGATGTCCTGTACGTTGTGAATAAATGTTGCTACGATTTATCGATAAATAAAACACTGATTGGCCAGTAGCCAGGCAGGAAGTATAGGCGGGACTAGCAGAGAGGAGAATTGGGGGAACAGGAAGTCGGAGTGAAGGAGACACTGCCAGCCACCACGATGAGGAGCAGGATGTAAAATACCGGTAAGCCACAAGCCACGTGGAAAGGTATAGATTAATAGAAATGGGTTAATTTAAGATAGGAGAACTAGATAACAAGAAGCCTGCCATGGCCATACAGTTTGTAAGGAATGTAAGTCTCTGTGTCTTTACTCGGTTGGGTCTGAGCGGCTGTGGGACTGGTGGGTGAGAGAGATTTGTCCTGACCGTGGGCCAGGCAGGACTGGAGAAAACTTGAGCTACACACCCAAGTTCTCAGATCTCTTCATTGGCTCCCAGATCTCACCACGGGTCAGTTGCTCCCATCAGGCTGTGAAAATCTGTCCACCCAGAATACAGTTCACCCAGAATGAGGCTCCTGAAGATCACTCTCCTCAAGTCTGACCCAGCCTGGGGTCACTCCTGTTTGCCTCACCTCTCTTGGCTCAGGCCCATCAATCCTCACTCCCAGACCCCTTTCGCACCCACCTCTTCCTCCTCCCATGGGAACCAGGTCTTGAGCAGAAAGAGCCCTGCACACCCTCCATCCCCACTCCATCTGTTTGGTCCTCCAGGGCCAGAGCAAGCTCTCCAGGAGAGAAGAAGGAAGCAGGCGTGCTTTCCCCAGCACTGGGGCTGCATCTCCTACGTTTCCCTTACACTAGCTCCTTTGATCTTCATAGCAACAGCCAGATGTGGTCACCTCTGTTCCTCTAATGAGGAAAATGAGGGTCAGACACATGAGTTAACTCCTCCAACAGCCACAAGGCTTGAGAACAGAGGACTCAGGGTTGAGAACCAGGACTTTCTGGTTTAGAGGTCTATGCCTTCTCCTTCATCTAGTACTATAAAATAATAACCTTCTAAGCACAAATATCTCTTAAACATAACCATTGAAGCCTTGCACATGGTCTTCCAGAAAATGGGAAAAAACATGACAAAAATATCACTCATCCATTCATTCGAATAAGCTGACACCAAAGCCAGAGTCGTATTTTAAAAGAAAAATTGCAGATTGATCTTGTTTATGAGTAGAAACAAAAAGGCCAAACACAATGTGTAGGGAAACAGTGACCAGGAAAATCACATCACAGCTAAGAGGAAGTTAAGCCATGAACACACAATGGGCCTGGCATGAGAGACAGAGAAAGCATAAACATTTGTTTCAAATGGAAGAACAATGTCAATTCAAATTCAGCCCTTATTTAGAAATGATGATAACTTTCGAGACTGACTCCATGGGCTGTTGACAGCTTTTTGATTTCTTGTGTCTGAGCACACCAGCTACTCCACAAGAATTTATTTACTCGCTTCTCGCCTCGCCCTGAAGGGTGGGAGGCTTCATTCAAGTTCAGTGCTTCAGCTCTGAGTGTTTACGGTTCTGAGACCCTTTCTTTATGGAAAAAAAAATAACACAGAAACCGGGCATTACGGTATGTGTCTATAACCCCAACACTTGGGAGGTTGAGGCAAGAGGATGGCAGCACGTTTGAGTCCAGCCAGGACTATACATATAAGACTATACAGAAAGACCTCAAAAAAACCTGTCACCACCTCCGTCATCATCAATACAAAAACAAAAAACAAGAAATAATCCAATTGACTGCAGGACTTTGAAAGGGACGCTTGTAAGTGCGGGGCCTCGAGTCTCAATCTTCCTTGGCTTATGGGACATCTGTCCCTCCACAGGTGTCCATGTTCCACAGGCCTCTCCTGCCCCTCCCCTACACACCTGTGGGCCTTCTGTTGGAGCTGATCGTCTACTGATCCTGGCCTGACTGTCCCTTCTCACTCTTGTTCTCTTGGCCTAGAGTCGGGTCCGGTGAGTGCCTGTCCTCTGCTTCTTCCCTGATGCTTGTACCCTCAACCCTACTCACACTAAAAATAAAAATAAAAATGTATGCCTTCCCTGAGCAGAGTCCCTGTTCCAGGGAACACGCTGGGGACTCGTCCTTGTCTGCCACAGGCACGAAGGTTTCTCAAAGGCAAGTGCACAGGCCCAAGCAGAGGCCAGTTGGCTCACGTGGCCCCAGAGCCCATGGGAGGGCTCAGCATCATTCATGTGTCTGATAAGCTCAACGCCTCAGATTCTGACCAAACAGCAGCAACTTTCCAGACATACAGAAGAGGTCCCCTGGATGAGCGACACCAGGCAAGGGCTCTGGGTGTTGGCCACAGTATTTTCTTTCCTTGAAGGATTTGCACAGTTGTCTGATACATGGCAGGCACTGTGCTTAAGTGCTTTGTAGCCATGATCTCATTTGTTCCTCGTGACAACGACTGCAGAGGCAAACGATGCTACTATCCTCGCTTTTGAAATAAAGGAATGTGGGCCAGAAAGACGGCTCAGTGGGTAAAGACACTCTCTGCCAAGGCTCTGACCTGAGTTTGAGCCCCAAGACTCTCATGGTAGAAGGAGAATCAAAGCATGCAAGTTGTCCTCTGACCTCACAATCACCATGGTCACACCCACATACACAAGCACACAGGTACACAGAACATATAAATGATGTCATTTTTAAATGAGACGATGAGGCAAATTGGTTTGGGATCAACGTTGGGAGCCATAGCCAAAGAATGCTCTGAAGATTCAGTTTCTACAGATGGGCCAGGGTGTGCCCCAAAAGAGGAGTGTGGCTTTGCTCAAGGTGACAAAAACAACTCCCAGCAGAGCCGAAAGAACTGAGGCATCCCTTATCTACTGACTCCAAGATTTTCCCTTCTCCAGATGCCAGCCTCTCAGCTGGGGCCAGTCTGAATGAAAATGGCCCCCATAGACTCATAGGGAGTGGTACTGTTGGGAGTTGGGGCCTTGTTGGAGGAGGTGTAGCCTTGTTGGAGAAAGTGTGTCCCTGAGGGTGAGCTTTGGGGTTTTAGAAGCCCAAGCCAGGCCCAGTGGCTCTCTCTCTTCCTGCTGCCTGCCAATCTGGATGCAGGACTCTCAGTTCCTCTCCAGCACCATGTCTTCCTGCACACTGCCATGCTTCCTGCCATGACAATAATGGACTAAACCTCTGAACTATAAGCCAGCCCCAATTAAATGTTTTCCTTTATAAGAGTTGCCATGATCATGGTGACTCTTTACAGCCATAAAACCCTAACTAAGACACTGGTTTTCTCAGATCTGCTCAAGAAATGTACCTCCTTCTACTTAACTACCAGGCTCCATACACCAGCAAACCCTTTCCTGGAACCCACAAAGTATAGTAAGTCGGTTCTGAGGCCCAAGTTCTGCCCTCTGTCACTTTCATTGGAACAATAGGAGCAGGAAGCTTGGGACAAGTTTGGGGTGCGTATGGAGAGGTGCCCCCCTTAGTGCCTTGAATCTCCCGCCCACTCATTACTGGCACGTGGAGCACCAGCCTCCAAATGTACATACCGGCAGCCATTTCCCGATGTCCCCAGTGTGAAGCCAGCCGTCGCTGTCCAGGGCCTCCTTTGTCCTGTCCTCATCTTTTAAGTAGCCTTTGAACACATTTGGGCCTTTCACACATATCTGTGGGGGCAAACACCATGGCTTTGCTCACTCATGACATCAGGAATCCAACACCACCGGCCTATCACCAGGCATGAGCACAAGTGTGCTATCCATCTATCGGAAGGCCACTGTGGAGACTGTGACAGACCAGAGGGCATGAAGTACCCTTCTGCAGTCTCTGCCCATGACCTGCCCCTTGCCTTCTCTGAAGCAGCCTTCCCCTGCCCTGGCCACCCTTTCTTCATTTGCTACCTCTTCTGCCTCAGGAGTCCCTGATCCTAGGCTCATGCTGTTCTGTGACACTCACCACAGATACTGATGACTGGCCAGTCCCACCAGAGCTGCTTGGGCTCCCTGCTTCATTGGCGGACAATCTGTTTCTCCACCCACTCCCTAGGGCTGAGCAAGAACAGCCCAGTTCAGCCCACCTCATTTGGCCTACTTGAATATGGCCATGTTTCTGATGAGACACGTTGTACTGCAGCGACCCAGGCCACAACTGGGCATGTATGTGTGTGTGGGGGAGGGAAGCTTCTTTTAAGGGTCAGAAATGTAAAAAAATCTTGATGTAGTCCACTCAGGCCCAGCGTTGGGTTTTGGTTGAATCAAGTATATGGATAACTTTAAATGGCTTTACATGCAAGCAAGGAGAAAATGGCTCCATGCACACTGCTCTTGCTTTCAACTGGCTGCATGTGACACCCAGAGAAGCAAAAGATGACATCTTAAGCTCACCTCTCCCTCTCCTTTGCTGGTCCAGTAGTTGAGTTCCTCTGCATCAACCAGCTTGATGTGATTGCAAGGCAGAGGTGCCCCTACGTGCCCTAGGACAGCGGAACGAGATGACACTTGTCAGTGTTTCAGCACGGACGGTGCTCAGCACCCCAGGAGATCCCCAAGCATCCTGGCGTGGTGGAGCATGCCCATGATTCCACAACTTGAGAGGTGGAGGGAAAACTACCAGGAGCTCAAGGCCATCCTTGGCTGCATGGTGAGTAGTTTGAGGCTAGCCTGAGCTACATGAGACCTTGCCTCTAACAAAACAAAACAAAACATGGACAAAGCAAAAATGGAAACAAAACTCCCAGCGGGTTAAAGCAGGGAGCTTTGGGACCTGAGTCCTTCACACAGGTGCTGGTCAGGTGTAAAGGGAGAAACCGAGGACAAAACTAAGCTCCAGAGAAAGCAGAGGCTGACCTTCCCTTTACACTTGATTACTGATTATTACAAGGACTGTTCTCTGTGTAACCCCGGGTTGTTTTGGAATGTACTATAGTGCCCAGGCTGGCCTCACACTTGTGATCCTGTGTCAACCTTACCAGACTTGCAATTATAGGAGGGCACCACCATGCCAGGCTTACATTTGGTTCTTAATTTTTAATTTTTCCACATTTGTTAGTATTGTGTGTGTGTGTGTGTGTGTGTGTGTGTGTGTGTGTGTGTGTGTGTGTGTACATACATGTAGTACACCAAGGCACTTGTGTGGAGGTCAGAGGACAGCTTGGAGGAGTCAGTGGATTCTGAGGTTATCAGGCTTGGCAGCACATATCTTCACCAGCTGAACTATCTCACTGGCCCTTATATTTGATCCTTACAGAGTGAAACAGGCATAATTTGCCTAGCACAAACCTACATGGGGTCCCTGAGTAAGTGGGTGTCTCGTGTCCACTGTCCAGATGGTTAGGAGGTTTTACAACGGTGCCTACATCAAAACATTTTTTTCCAGCTAGGCATGGTGGTACACACCTACAATAGCATCATCCAGGAGATGGATGTTGGAGGATCAGGAGACTGAGGCCAGCATGTGCTCTATGAGACTTTATCCCCAAACAAAATGTCTTCCCCAATGTCAGATCATAAATCTTGTTTGTGCGTCATAAAATACAGTCATCGTTTCTTTTTTCCTAGTAAGGCTATTGATTGGTGCATACAGGAATAACCTACAACTCTTGTTACACTGCAGATTTGGACTCAGGTCTGGGATGAGGCATGAGGGCCTGTTTCTCACAGACACCTAGGCAGTATTGATGCTGTTGAACTAAACACTACACTTAGGTGAGCAAGGAACAAGAAAACAGGGTGAAGTTACTCATCCTCAAAAAAAAAAAAATCAAATTCCAAATTTTGTTGTTCTTACACAATCTAGCCACAAGATTCTATCTAGTCATTCACTAGCCTTTGTGGTCTTTACACTTTGATCAGAGTGTTGAATGGGTGCTGGCCAAGGTCCTGAAACCTTGGCCATGGGGATAAAAAAGAAGGCTATGGCACTTGGGTTTCTCTTTCAGAAGATACATTGCCAAACCTGTTATGGTACTCTACAAAGAGACATCAGTCTTCTCACACCCAGCACCTTAGGTTTTCTAGTAAGCATGAATAGAAAGTCAACAGTTTTACATAGGAAAATGTTAAGGACAGCTTTCAAGGTACGTGAGTTCAGAGTGGGCTCAGTGGGGAGAGGGGCCTGCCACTAAGCCAGATGTCTGAAGTTTGATCCCCAGAAGCTCATGGTGGACAGAGAGAATAGACTCTTGTAAGCTTTCTTCTGACATCCACATGTGCACCATGAGATATATACACTCTCCTACACAAATAAATAAATATATTTTTTTAAAGGTAGAATGAAAGTGTCTAAAAGGAATGGAATTTGTGGAATGATGGCTCAGTATGATGGAAACAATGAGAAAAAAAGCTAGGTGCTGGAGAGCTGGCTCGGCAGTTAAGAGGGCTTGCTGTTCCTACAGAGAAGAATTTGGTTTCCAGCATTCATGTTGGGTTAGCTCACAACCAACTGAAATTTTTTCTTCAGGGGATCTGCTGTCCTCTTCTGGCCCCCATGGGCATGTGCACTCACACGCACATACCCCCACCTCCCACATATACATAATTAAAAACAAATATTTGAATACTTTTTAAAATTATTGAGCATGACTTCCAAAGATGGTTCCTGAAGAATATCTGGCAGCAGAAAAGTGACCAAGGAGCTTCTATATGGAGCAGTCTTTACTCAGCTGGAGTGTAATGAGTCAGAGTTCATAAAAAACATTCCTTGTCTGCTCAGTCAAATGCAGTTTGCATTTTGAGTCTACCTATCATGTTTCAAGATGATGTGAAAGACTATTGCATTACTTAGCATCTTTTTTTGCATACACATCATTCTAAATTTTCCAGTTTTTATTTGAGCAAATGTAAGCACAAACAGTGGCCCCAGGGAAAAGAGTCTGAAAGAATTCTCTTGCTGAGTGCTTTCCAAGTTTGTCCAATGCCTACTCTGAATCCAGTGATGGATGACCCAAGGGCTAACTACACTACTACAGACCTACTTCTGTCTGCTTAGGAGGAGAACTCTCCTCGTAGTGAGAGTGTGCATGGACCTCCTTTTGAGATTGCCACCGGCCTCTAGATACATCGCAGAAGCCCTGTCTTTAGGAAATCATCCTCAGAGGAGCTGGAGAGATGGCTCAGCAGTTAACCACTCACTGTTCTTCCAAAAGGACTGGGGCTTGATTCCTAGAACCCACATAGTAGCTTATAGCTCTAGTTCCAGGGGATCCAACATTCTCTTCTGGCCCCTACAGGCACCAGACACACCCACTGTGCACATATGTATGTGTAGGCAAAACACTCGTACATATTTTTTAAAGAGAGTGTTGTCTATTATAAGTCACATTCAACTCATAGCCTGCTTCTTTCATGCTATTAAAAAACAGTTCTAAAATAACTGGAAGCAGGCAGTGTGGTTATCTAGAATCTACAAAATTCAATGTGCTGGTATTATAAGCAGTTACCACATGGAGTTATATCCTGTGATCTATATTTTGCACAACTTCTATTTATTTAGACAAAAACCAGGACTGGTTCTTGAGATAGATCAGTGGGCAAAGATACTTGCTGCCAAGTCCGACAAATCTGAGTTTGATCCAGAAATCTATATGACAGAAGGATAAAACAAACCCATGCAAGTTGTCCCCTGACTTCTACATGTGTGTCACAGTGTGCGCACGCGCGCGCACACACACACGCACACACATGTAAACAAAGTAAGCAAATCAATGCAATTTTAAATTACAAATAAAAATTTTAAAGTGCGGAAAATATAAAAAGGAAGGTGCAAAAATTTGCAACAAAGAAATCAGATCCACAGTATCACAACCCAGACCTAACCACTGTTAACTTATTTTTTCTGTTTCTTTTGCTTTTTTCCCTAAGTTCCTGTGCAAATTTAATTTCCAGAAGGGAGTTTGTGGGCTGGAGTCTTGATATGGAGTGGACCACGGACTGTCCCCCACCCACTACCCCCCCCACCCCCCGTCTCTTCACACACACTGCTCTACCTGAGGTCCAGTCTCCTGGCGTTGTGAAGGTACATCCAGCTGTGCATTCAGTTTGCCCATAACCTTCATAGACCTTCAAGCAAAACACAGAAACCATGATGTGGGCCACACTGTTCCAGAGCTGTCTGCGGGCCCTTCTTGGCCAGCTTGCCTCCCACTGACTGTCTGCTGCTCCCAGCTGAGGAAGGTGGGAGGCATGGAGCTCTGGGCAGCTCACTCCAGTGGAACCGAATACAGCAAGGCTGTGCTGCAGCCTTTTGCCGTGAACACTTAGGTTGGGCAGCTTGAAATAAAGGTTTCTGGCCACATTTCAACTGTAGGCTCTGTTTTCACTTGGATAATGCATACTCAAGATAAATATTCTGGACCTACTACAGGTCTGATTTTATCTTTGACATTCCTCTCGAGAGTTCAAGGCATATAAAGCATAAAAATTGAAGCATTGTACTTAGGAAACAGACATGTTTAACTTCCCCTGGATCCCTGCTACAACCATGACACCATACCCTGCTTCTGCAGGAACTTGACAGATGTTCCCTGAATGGATAAACAAAGGGATACTTTTGCTTGTCTGTTTTGTCTTTCTTAGAGATAATAAAATATCAGCACAGGAATGGGCTCTTCCTCCCTGATGCTCTTGCTTTGAGATGGGAGATGTTTTGAAGGCTGTAGAGTGCAGAGAGGCAGGACAGTATGATACAGAGTCTCCAGCCCACCATGGATGCTTTTATATTTTTATTTTTTTAAACAATATTTATTTTATGTGTATGTATGTGTGTGAGCATATGTATATGCACCATGTGTTCAGGTACGGGTCAGAAGAGGCCATTGGATCCCCTGGAACTAGAGTTACAGACAGTTGTGAACCACTATGTGGTTGTTGGAAACCAAACTCAGGTCCTCTGGAAGAGCACAAGTGTTCTTAACCACTGAGCCATCTCTCCAGCCCCTAAGGATACAGTTATAGTTCATCTGATTCCTTTTCCTTTTGCTACAACTCCCAAAGTCCAGGTAAAGGGCCCTCCTAGCATGGATATACCTGGGGGTTCCCAAAAGATGGCATGGCCATTCTAGCTCTCTGTGGCTGTGGGTTTTTCTTATCCACACAATGAAATCCCACCCCGGGATCTCCCTTTGTACAGTAGAGTGTATAAGCGTATAACAGCTGTACCCTGGCACACATCCCAGTGCCCCCGAGGAAGGCCCTGGATGATAATACCTGGCACCCCAGAGCTGCTCGTAGGAACCCCAGGACTGTTGGCGATGCGGGGGCTGCTCCAGTAACAATCATCCTCACGTGCCCACCAAGACTGGCCTGTGGGAAGAGAGAAGCTGCCAATGCTTGTGACACCCGAGATGGTCCTCATTCCATACCAGCTTTCAACAACTACCCTGGATGCTGGGGCTCAGGTCAGGAAGGAAGCTACATGCTGAGGCAGTAAAGCTCTGTGCTGAGGAAGCCCCCTCCCCTTCCAAATAGTAAGCTTGATCAGTCGACAACCTAACCCACAGCATGTCCAGTCCTGTAGCTGGTTTGAGATAAGTGCCATTATTCCATGTGGCATTTTTTAAAAAATACTACCCTTCTCCCTCCTTAAAGGATTCAGCTGCTTCCTCACTCTCTCATTATTCACAGGCCTCCAAAGCAATTACTTAGGACAATTTTCTCCAACTCCCATTTTAATGGCAGTGCCTTTTTCTCATGTATAAATCAATACCATGCTTTATTTACTACGTTCTGCAGAGGACAAAGGATACCTGAAACACTTTGTTTCTGTAAGTTGAGCCAAGAGAGTTTAAATATTAATTTCCATGGCTAAAAATAGAACAGCAAGAAAAAGAGTGAGCCGATAGTACTAATGAACTAGATTCCTTGGGTGGTGCAGAGCAGGAGGCTGTGGCGGTGATACAGCAAGGGAGCACTTCTGGACCGGCCTGATTTGGGAGAGGCTGAAGGGATGGGACACCAGAAAAGGGAGAGAGGACTCCTGGTCGTCTGGCGAGGAGCTGGTGCTATTGAAAAGCCACCATAGCTAGTTTCCTGGGGATGGCACGAGGAAGCCCAGGCCTTCGGGTCCCAGGAGTGTCTTAGTGGAGCAATGGCTTGACCACCCAGGAAGGTGGAGGCCAAAGGGCCTCCTTTCTAGGGGCCTTTTAAATACGTATATATGTGTGTACGGATGCATGTACATGTAATATTTTTAATTAATTTTTGGAGAATCTCATACGACATTCACTCCCCACTTTTCCTGTTAACTCTACCGGGGTCCATCCCTGACCCCTCACCTCCCCCAACTCCCTGTCCTCTCTTTGGCTTTAACATCCTATGGGGTTCAGCTTGTGCTGCCCACATATGCACGGGTGTGAGGCCATCCACTGGGGCATGGACAACCTAGGGGTCCTTCATGCTGGTTGCTTTTTAGCAAATACAACACATCTCCAAAAATTAAAAAAAAAAAATCATGGCTCTAAAATTCCAGCTGCAGCCAGGCAGTGGTGGCTCACGCCTTTAATCCCAGTACTTGGGAGGCAGAGGCAGGCGGATCTCTGTGAGTTTGAGGCCAGCCTGGACTACAGAGTAAGTTCCAGGAAAAGCACCAAAGCTACACAGAGATACCCTGTCTCAAAAACCAACCAAACAAACAATCAAACAAACAAAAAAAATCCAGCAGCAGCTTAAGCTCTGACTTCCTGAGCACAGGAGTTATTTTTCTCTCCTTATTATGGGTCACCGGCACCATCTTCTCCATTTCTCCTGTGGGATCACCCACCAGGCACAGCGTCACTCTAGACTCACAGCCCCGTTTCCTTACCTGGATCTTACTGAAGAAGAGTTCATCCCAGATGCTGTTGTTCCTGATGATTCCACTCCGGACCTCGGCCTGCTTTCTCTTCGCTGCGAACTCCAGGAGCCACCGCTTTAGTGAAGTGTCTGCCTGGTGGAAGATCTGAGGAGCACAAGCAGGAGACGGCTCTCAGGGCCTGACTAGCTTGCTTCTAGACGCATCCTCCAGGAAGAGGACCCAGACTAGCCAGCCGAGGAGCCATGCTCCCGAGTACCCTTGTGAGAGGTCACTGGATTTGTGGCATGAAGCTGAAGGTTAGCACTATCAAGGGCCAGGAACATTCTGGAGATGGGGAGGGGAGGGGAGGGCAGAGTAGGAGAGGGGAAGGAGGGGAGGGAGGGGACAGAAGGTCAGGTCTCTTTAACCAGAGTTTTGTAGGCTGGGAAAAAAAAAAGGAGAAGGAAGTACAAGGAAGAGTCAGGAGACATAAGAAAGGAGGCTTCCTTTTAGACCTGGGTTGGAGGGAAGGAAAGCCTCCCTGGGGCCCCAGATTCTGTCCACACCAGCAGATATGAAGCCTTCCAGTCTGTGGGACTCACCTTGTCATACATCCGATTCAGCAGCCGTGGGACCACAGGAAAGATGGTGGGGTGGAGAGCCTTCATGTCCTCTGAGAGGAGGCGGATGTCTCCCTGGAAAAAGCCCACGCGGCCTCCATGGCAGTAGACAACAGACTGAAAGGAGAGGATAGAATGTGGGAGTCATTTAGGGTGGGTACTCCTGGCTGCAGGCCCGAGAACACCCCAGACCCCACCCAGCCCTGGCTGCTGCTGTAAGACACTCAAGAGTGCCGAGTGAGTGACCCACCCACCTACAACCTTTGCATTGAGTCCCCGCCAGGCCTAAGGAGAAGGCCAAGTGGAATGATGCTGAAGTACCTGTTCCTGTTGGTGCCTGCTCCCCTCACAGCCACTCTCCACCCTAGACACGAGCCACCCTGCTCCCACCCTGGAAACTCAGGTCCATGGAATGTTCTATTATCCACACTCTGTAAATGTGTCTGCTCAGGTCCCTAGAGGGGCTGCAGATTTCCCAGTGACATCTCTGCAACTGTGGCATGATGCACCATTTTCATCAGGTACTAGAGCTGGTGGGAGACCTGGGGCTCCTGGCTGGTCCCTATGGGGCCAGAAGCACAGGAGGGGCCTTATATTCGCCCTGTTCTTTAGCACCCAGGACAGCCTTTTAAGAAAGGCAGTATTTCCAGCATGACCATTTGTGGGAGAAGAATGCAAAGCTCAGAGAGGCAAAGCGACTTGCCCAGATCAAGAAAACTAGTTGACAATCATGGCTGGCAGTCTAATCCAGGCCCAGAGAGGTGGAAAGCAAGGCCCATGATAACAGATCTCCCCTCTAGACAAAGTAGAAATATATTTGAAAGATCTATTGTATTCGCAGGCTGATCCTCTGAGTGACGTGCGCGTGGCAAAGTCCTGGACTCCACCTTCCTACATGGATTCCTGCCTTTGCTCTCTCTCTGTCCTCACAAGATCTGTCTGAGGACCAGTCCTACACAGCCCAGGTCCACAGTCCTAGGAGCCATGACAGCTCAATACCACATTGTTACTGCTTTCGTTCGTCTTTTAGGAGTTTGTAAGTTACGGAACAGAAGCATGCTGTCTGTCACAGAGCACTTCTGCAAACCCATAATGCTCTCGGAGCGGACGCCACCAACCAGGCGCTGGCCCAGCTGAGGTGTGCCTATGAGCAAGGTGAAGTGGGCGGGTGGGTCTGGGTGTTTCCTGAAGCACGGCTCCTAGGGAGGGGAGGCAGGGGTGGCCGAGGTCCTCCGACCCCTCTGGCCCCTTGCGCTTCCTTCGAAGGATGGAATAGTTGGTTCTGCCTCACACCAGCAGTGACAAAGAGACAGCCCTGCCCTAAGTGGCGAGTCTGGGGCACGGAGGGCGCCTCCCTGATGCCAGGGCCTTACCTGCACCATTCGCTCAAACATGTGGGCTAAAGGCAAATAGGAAAAGTGCACATCCGCACGAGTGGGGGCCCACTGACTCTGCAAGAAAACACAAGGAGCCCAGGCAGGTCCCGGTCAGCCAGCCGGGCGTCTTACCTGGATCACTCTCTCAAACATGTGAGCCAGAGGCAGGAAGGAGATGAGCACATCGTCCTGTCTCGGAAAGATCACTTTCTGCAGGTGACGGGCATGGGAGACAGAAAGGAAAGAAACACTGACAGGAAGACAACGAGAGAGTCATAAAACAATAAAGAGAAAAATGGTCATGGGGGGGAGGGGTGGGCAGGGAGCGGGGGAGGGGGGAGGACAGAGAGAGGTGAGG